CTGGAGAAATGGTATTTTATTTTAGTAAAAAATGAAACAAAAACAAACTCAAACCACCCCGAGGGGGAAAAACAGACAGGCAGGCCTAAAGCGGCACACATGCAGACACGAAACACACACAATGAGAAATGACGGATCAGCACAGGACGGCAGACACAAGGAGAATAAATAGGAACCAAACGAGGAGGCTAACGAGGGAGACACAGGTGGAGCAACTAAAACAATAACGAGGTAACAAGATGGGCGGGGCCAGACAATAGACAGGAGAGAGCACATGGCAACAGACAAACACAACACAAGCCATGTGCTCCCAGAACACAGTCATCTGGTGGCCCTCCTGGGCACACCGGCTGAAGACTGTGACATGTGCAGCATCTAGAAAAGCATCATTATGACTGTTGCTCGTTAAAATAACCTGATGCAGATGGTCCAATACTTCTCCATTACATTTTATTCACAGTTTGCACAACTCAAATTTACAAATTTAGTTTATTGCAAATCAAAAGATTTACATTTACATTTACATTTAGTCATTTAGCAGACGCTTTTATCCAAAGCGACTTACAATTGGGGGTAAGCAAAAGATTTCCTAAGCAAAAGATTTGCTTAGGAAATGAAATTTGTAGATGAGTTTCAGTTAACATCCTGAGAAGCAAAAAGCTATGTGTTTGTAAGAAACAAATCCATCCTTAAACTGTTTTTAACTTCAAACCGTTGCTTTCGGCTAAAACATGAGTCCATAATCCATAATAACGCTTCCTACAGTGAAAAAGCCCATCCCCTGTTCTCTCTCACATCAAAATTCACTCACATATTTGTTTAGAGCCGTTTTTGCTTGTAAACGGTGCTTGATCTGTGCAGATTTCTCTCCTGATTCAGACCAGACAACTTTGTCACAGTAGGAAGCGTAATTATGGATTCTGAACTCGTATTTTAGCCGGAAGCAACAGTTTTAAACTAAAAATGCCTTAATAATGAATTTCTTACAAACATGCAGCTTTTGTCTTCTCCAGATGTTAACTGATGGACTGGAGTGGTGTGGATTTCGTGTGGATTATTGTGATGTTTTTATCAGCTGTTTGAACTCTCATTCTGACGGCACCCATTCACTGCAGAGGATCCATTGCTGAGCAACTGATGCAATGCTACATTTCTCCAAATCTGATGAAGAAACAAACTCATCTACATCTTGGATGGCCTGAGGGTGAGCACATTTTCAGCATTTTTTATTTTTGGCTGAACTATTCCTATTATACACTTTCCTAGTGTGAGAAACCTCTAGAACCACATGGTATCAAACATCCAATCAATCCAATAAATTTTTTTTGAGTGAAATATCCAGTTTCCCAATGAAATGTCACATTACAGCAATAAAAAGGCTTGTGAATGCTGTTTCATGTTGACTATGTGATGAAACAGCTCGCTAACACCTCTTTGCGTTGCATTAAACACCTAATCAGCACACACACAGGCAGTGACTGTAATAATCCATTAGATCTCATTCTGGCCTCCAGGATCTAGTCTTTGTATCTTGTCTCGGTCCATAAGCCAATGACGGATTACAAACCCAGCTTCATCCAGCTACATGCTTTGGCACAGGGCAGATCAACCAATTACCACGTCCTTATTAAACACTTCAGGTGCCTTTGCTCAAGTACAATGACTACAAATACTTAAGAAAAGAAGAACAGATTCACACATATATTTTAAAGTGTAATAACATTTTACAATATTACTGTTTTACTGTATTTTGTCAAATAAATGCAGCAAAAACATAAAAAAACTCCAAACTTTACAACGGTAGTATATATTTCCTTGGATACACAGAAATCTAGATAAAAATAACTAATTAAAGGATTATTTTACTTAATATTTGTGAGCGGTTTACATATTTATGCGTATTATTTTATTATTAGAATAGTTTTAAGCATGCAGAGATGCTAGCTATTGCATTCTTTCGAGTTGAATGGACACAGAATACGTAAAAGAATGGCATAATAACTTCCTACTCGGTATGAAAGTTTGTAGCATGCATGGCATACCTGGATGATGTCCTATAGTGCAGTATGCAACAGAGCACACTGCATGAAATATCATACCACACAAAGCAATGTATCTGACTAGACCTTCGATTTCCAGTTTTATAAATAAACTGGAAGTAAATATCTTTTCTTTTTTAGAACTTGTTTTGCGATCAGACTGGTAAAATTTAAGACACTTTGCAGTGCATACAGTTCAGTATTCCAGCTGACGTTATGAGCAAACATTCTGGTCTTTAATAATGTTCTTAAAACGTTAGCACAAAAATTGTAACATTTCATGAAACGTTCATGTTTATTCAATTCATTCATTCATATTTCTGAAACCTTTTAGTTGGACGTTCATCTAACAATTTTCACATGTTACTACCAGCATATGCTGGCTAGGTATGTTTTGAAGCTGGGATGCTGGTTTGAGCTGGTTTAAGCTGGTCCTTTGCTGGTTTATGCTGGTCCTTAGCTGGTCATGTGTTTGTCCTAAACTGGTCCGACCAGCTTAAGACCAGCACATGACCAGCAAAGGACCAGCATCCCAGCTTCAAAACATACCTAACCAGCATATGTTGTTTTTTTCAACAGGGAGAGAACATTCAAATGTAACATTCCCATAATGTTCGCAAAATTCTAAAATGGAATGTTGCTTAACATTCGCATAACCAAAAATCATTAAGTTATTCAAAAATATATGTTATCCATAAATCATTCATGGAAGTTTTTTTTTTAATGTTTTAGTTGGATGCTTGTCTAAAATTTGCAAATGTTACGTCTTGCTTCAGAATATATTCGTCTAACACGGTTTAAAATGTTACTACATTTTTTCAGAATGTTCTGAGAACATTCCAAAGTAACGTTCCCATAATGTCTGCGTACTGTACGCGCACCATCCGATTATTGTAACCGCGCATACTTTATATGTGCAGGTCGCACATGTGCATTGACTTGGTTTTGTACTAATCAGTTGTTCCACAAGGTGTTGATTCAACTTTGTTCCAGTAGAATGAAACGACAACGAACGAAAGTAAAGAGAGGGAACAACAACAACAAAATAGCGGAGACTGCAACTACAGCAGACACTCACATCGACAAGCGCTTGTGAGAGGGTTATGAGATAGCAGCAACTTTAGTTTAAAAGAGTACAAAGACATTTTATCAGTCATAACATCTGGAGAAAAATAGAGCAGACGCTGGACAAAGACGACGCTTTCTAGAGTGTACGCTATCAAATAGAGTACAGGATCCATAGAGGAGGACTTAACCATTAGGCAAAGCTAGGCGACCGCCTTGGGCCCCCAAAAGCCAAGGGCCCCCAAAAGCCAAGGGCCCCCTAAAATGCTTCTTATATACGAGATGCGCGTTTAGCGCAGACACACAGACGGTTGTCATGATAATGAACACCACAGCAACCACTTGTGCGTCCGCGCTGAACGCGCATCTTGAAGCAAATGTAGTTCCTTTCCACACAAGCATAATTCATGTTTGGTTGAAATAAACCTTCGGCGTGTAAATGTATAATTTCCTTCATTTTAATTCAAATGTGTAATTAAATAAACATTTTTTAAATGTTTTTTTAAGTTTATAATTAGACAGCCTTGCATTGTGTACAATTTCTTAGTGAAAATTACCTCAAAGCACCACCTACTGTCCAACTTACACTAATACTATTATAACCTGTGTAAATGTGAGCAAGCGGTCTACAAGATGAAAGAAATCCATTTGTAACGTGCATGAAAAATCAAAAAATAAATGGACACGACTAAGGGACATGGTCGAGCAGCAGCGAGCATCACAACAGTTAAAAGGAACCTCAAGGTTGTAAATGTTAGAAAGGGCCCTATTCCTGTATTTTGCCTGGGGCCCCCAAATCACTAAATCCACCCCTGTCCATACCTCGTCTCTGAGCTGCTGTGCGTGTGCGGTGAGCGGGAATGGCGGACAGAGGCGTCTCATGCTCTGAGCCACGCTGCGGTGCATGATGAACGCCTGCTGGAAATCTGACTGAAGCAGCAGCTCCAGCAGCAGCCCAACGTCCTGCTGACTCTCAGCATCCGTCAGACGCAGCTGCAGATGCTGCAGAGAGTCCAGCAAATCATCCAGCTCTGAAAACACAAAGAAAGAAACATTATTGATAAAAACAACAACAACCATAATAATGATAATAATCCCACCTGATTCAACTTAAAAGCTTGCTGCTTTACATTTTTAAGTATCTAGTCATTTCAGTAAATTTTTTTAAAAGTCTTGTCTAGTTGAATCTGGCATAACTAAAAAATTATACATTACTAATTACTAGAAGTTACTAGAAAACAATAGCAACTTTTGGATTTCGAATGACACAAGAGATAGTAAAGAGATAGTTCACCCAAAAATGACAATTCTGTCTTCATTTACTCACTCTCATGTTGTTTCAAACCTCATGTATGAGTTTCTTTCTTCTGCTGAGAAGATATTTTGAAGAAGGAAAATACTATGGAAGTTTGGTGAGTAAATGATGACAATATTTTCTTTTTTGGGTGAACTATCCCATATCAAATTTTTTTTTCATGTACCACAGTGTTTATATGGTATACCATTGTTTTTGCCCCCAAAACACTGTGCAAATTCCACTTTTATCCCACATTGTGAAGCGAAATACAGTCATTACAGTCTTCAGTGTCACATGATTCTTCAGAAATCATTCTAATATGCTGATTTGCTGCTCAAGAAACATTTCTGATTATTATCGCTGAAAACAGGGCTGCCCAATATTTTTGTGGAAACCATGATACATTTTTTTTTTTCAGGATTCTTTGATGAATAGAAAGTTCAAAAGAACAACATTTATTTAAAATAGAAACGTTACATTATAAATGTCTTTATTGTCACTTTTGATCAATTTAATGCATCCTTGTATTCTATTGTAATTAGCTATTTTAGAGTATTTAAGCCCCTAAACGTGATGCTTTTCCAGGTTGTCCATCATTGAATTACATTCATCCATCTCGTGTCTCTCACCTGTTGTATTCTTCTCCTCTGATGTTGACTTGGCTTCCTCTGCAACATCCATCCCATCAAAAAAGGCCAGAGTGATGGCCTCATTGCTGCTCTGTGCCGATGTGAGACACGAGGACGAGTTCAGATCGGTAGCCTGTTCACAAGCCTTCTCCTCCTCCTCCTCCTCCTCCTCCGTCATCATCTAAGCTTCCTCTGGATCATCTCAGATCTTCTCGGTCTGCTCATTGCAGCACTGAGCGATGAGTTTGGCAGGACTGTCCATGTCCATCTCAGCGTTGTCACCTGAGTCCTCCGTCATGTCACCGTTCATATGTAATGTTAACATGGCTGTTTAAAGTGAAGGTCAACACAATAAACTACAAAGGGTTTAGAGCAGGAGACATTGATGCATTTGTGATTTCCTGATTCCCTGAAACACATGCCCACAAAACAGAAGCCACATTCTACAAATGCTGTAATTTGTATTGCAATTATATATATATATATATATATATATATAGACGTATATATATATATATATATAATTGATTTAATATTTAATATAATATAACATGTGCAATTATAATGTATACTAAATATTATTTATTATTACTATATATATATATATATATATATATATATATATATATATATATATATAT